GTAGGTGTTTCCCAGTAACTGCTCACGAAGTTTTAGTACATAAGGTACACATAAGATGTGTGATTATGCTATTCAGGTGTTTGCAAACGCTGATCCATCGAAGGGACACAAGGGCATCACTTGCTTCCTAGTGGACCGAGACCAGGAAGGAGTGTCAGTGGACAAAGAGGAGAATAAATTGGGAATTCGCGCTTCAGCCACATGCCCGGTCTACTTCGAGAATGTGCGAGTGCCTAAGTCGGCGATACTCGGTGAATATGGAAAAGGTGCGTTTGCCCTCCACAGTTGCTTGCTTCGTTACCATAGAAATTCTTAGCGACTTATCATAGGTAAAAGTGGAAATATTTGTTTCTCACAATTGTTGTAAAAAAGAGTGAGGGTACATGGGCAATCTTGAATCCTTACTTTTCACAAACGTTTCTCAAAAGATAACAGTGCTCTACAGGAACATTCTTTAGAGAATACGACCTACTCACATTGCCGAATTGCTGCGCCCTTTGAGGGCCTTGAAGAAAATATTGCGCAGTAGCCAGTTTTACAACGTGGAGTAGCCCGTATTTCGTGAATAAGTCCTTCAAGGAGCTGTTATCCAGAGTTGCCGGAATGTTTTAGCGATGAAATCGGCACTAGCCATTCCTCTTCGTGGTGGCCAAGCTGTACGAGCGAAGGCCTTTCGCATCCCATAAAGCTCAATCTTCGTTAGAGCAACTTTTTGTCGTGTTTTTGGACCTCTTCTAGAAAGTCTGGAGGAACTCGGTCACAATCACCCGCGTAGGGTCAATATGTGGTAGGCGCGTAGCGGAGAGTAACGCTATGGTAAATGGTAGCATAGAGCGCGACAGTGCGATGTAGGATTACTATGTGCTGTTGAAAAGTCTTAATAGTGGATTCTGGACGCAGAGAACGATGCCTTGGCCCAGGGCCAACAATAACAAAGCTGTATGGGAAAGAGTGTAGTCCAAATTTCCGTAATCACAAAACTAAATCGTCGCAGTGTGGAAGTATAGCTCACTTTGTTTTCCACATCAAGATTCTAATTCTGTCAGATCTG